TGAACAGTGATTGGCCATCCAAAATTGCCATTTTGACAAAATAAATGGCCGACCGGCAACAAAGAATGCCGACCGGCAATATATATTGCCGATAGCATAAAATCACTGGCCAGTGGCCTCGAGCCATGGCCGGTGATGTGTGGGGATCCCTCACAAGGCATTCCCTGCCCCTCCAAGGCAAAACACAAGTGTTTGGTGCAAAAACCAGACACAAAACAGTCGAGTCGAGAGATCTTGAGGCTAGGTGCGCAACCGAGACCTCCGGGAACTCAAGACGAACACAATCATGGATGATCACCGAGTGTTCCAACGGTGACGTCCAAGTCTTGAGGCCGGTCAAAAATGGGGTGTCTACAGTTGCCCTTCTTTGACAGAACTCGAAAGTCATAACAATGACGAGAGTGAATGTCAAAGCCTAGAGACGACCCATTTTTGACAAGGCTGAAGACTTAGACAAACATGCAAGACAATAAAGATATGCGCCCGAAGGCAGGGGCAAAATGTAAGACAATGCACAAAGTCGAACATAACTTATGATCATACAAAGAAGGCTGTAACGAAGCATAATAATGCAACAGTTTTAAGCTAGCATACACCAAACTACACTACAATGCAGAAAGGATGTAAGAGAATTATGCAATTCTCAATACGTCTCACGCGAAGAGTACAATACCTATACAAAAACAGAACAGAAAGGGGAAAACTAAAACACCCCTATAGCCTTAGCTTGAATGGACTCGAAACCTCGCAGTGAGGCACATAGGTTGGCTTGACAAAACTGAAGTTTACCCTGACACTTCTAGCAACGGTCCGGTGCCTGAACACCAACACATATATATATATATGAGCAGTGAGCTAAAGCCCAGTGAATAACATAATGCATAAAAAGGTTAAGAATGGATGTCCTTACAGTATTGAAAACAATCATTTCAATCAGTATATCAGTTATTCAGTCATTACAGTCTTATGTGGTACATCCAGTAGCAAAATAGTACAGTAGGTCTTATCAGACCGAACAGTCAGTTGATGGCCATCATATCAGTAAACAGTAGTGGTTCCAACATGGGAACCGACAGAGATCTCTGTGACAATAGCAGTACAATACAGTAACAGTAGGTTGCTAAGGATGCCACAATACAGTTCACAATTAGGACATCATTCATTCAGTAAGAGTATCATTTCAGAAAACAGTACAGTTCAATTGTTCAGAAGATAATCATATTTGAACATATCTTTACACAGTTGTTACTCACAGAGTTCTGGGCTACAGTTAAGCTAGAGCGCGTCCTCAGGTGCCAACCCTACACAGTTACAGAGTGAACACACACTAAGCTATACAGTTGGGAAAATAGTAACTTAATCCCTAATTTGCCTCGGTGTGGTTCTACATCTATATCCTCATTAAGATACCTTAAACTAGGCCTAGGAATGCCTAGGATGAAATGAGGATGCAAAGATGCAATTGAAAAGCATTTTCAGAATTTTCAGAAAAACAGGGTTCACACTCGAGCGTAGGTTACTCCGTTCGAGCAGACATGCAGACAAAGGTTTCCGCTCGAACGTAGACTTACTTGCTCAAGCGTACTGTAAAACAATCAAAAGTGTTGGATGTGTGAAAATCACGCTCGATTTGGCGCTCGATACCCGCTCGAGCGTAAGACACAAGGTCTCACTCGAGTGTAAATTACCCTGCTCGAGCGGACTTCAAAACAGTGTAAAGTGCTGGGAGCACGAATTTCATGTTCGAGCGCCAGTCACCCAGCTCGAGCGTGAGTTCAAAATCTGGAATTCCCAGATTTGAACCTCAAGCTCAAGTTTAACTTCAGATGTAACAAATTCGATTCCTTTGGGCCCATTTCCTGGAAAACACTTGTAAATACATAGTATGACATGATTCAAAGCTCAATTTGTAAAATCAAGGCGCAAAGGTGAGGGAATTAAACCCAATTTCAGCCAACATTTCAAGAACATGGTGAATGTGTAACATGCATGAATTCAACAACTTCAAAGCTTCAAAAGCTAGCTCAATTGAGCCAATTCTTTCAAAAACAAGATGAAATCATGAACTTTAACATAAACATGACCATGCATGCAAGATTTCCATGGAATCAAACCTCCAAACTCAACAATGCACACATGCATGCATGATTCAAGCTCTAATGCAACAATTTAAACTAATTCTAGGCTCAACTCTTCAAATTAGCATGAAACATGCAAGGACTAACTTAAATTCACAATTAAAAGGATGAACTCCTTACCTATGTTCTCAAATACAAGTCTAGAAGCTCAATTGATCACAAACTCTTCCAATCTTCTCAATTTCCAAGCAATGCAAGATAAATTCACTCCAACTCCCTATCTCTCTCTCTCTCTAGTCGGCAATAACAAGGAAAGAGGCTGATGAAATGTTTTGTTGAATGTATAATAAAGCTCAAATATGTGTTGCCTAAGTGGTCCACTAAGTGGCATGTTGGTAATTAAGCCAACTATTGTAATTTAACTCAATTCAATCTAATTTAATCATACCAAATCACTTTTCAGATAAATACTCCATAAAATCCTGCAAATTCTAATGATCATAAAACATCAATCGATTTCCGATTCGACCACCGATAAGGCCTTCAATTCGCGATTTAAAACATAAAACATGGACAGATAAGTTTAACAGTCAAACAGATAGAAATGTTTTTAAACTAGTATATTCAATCAGTCAATTCAGTATTTCAGTCGATTCAATTACTTATCATATTCGGTCTCAGTTTAGCAGTAATCAGTAGGGTTATCAGTAATCAGTGGTGAGGGTTATTACAGATATGGCAGGTGATCTTGATGATAGAAAATCTACATCAGGATTTCTGTTCACCTTTACAGGGAGAGCTGTTTCATGGTAGTCCAAACTATAAAAGTATGTTGCTTTATATACAACAGAGGCTAAGTACATTACTGTTGCAGATGCTGAAAAGGAAATTTTGTGGTTAAAGTGGTTTCTCTAAGAATTGGGTCTACAACAGGAAAAATACAAGGTACATTGTGATAGTCAGAGTGCAATTGATCTGAGCAAGAATTCCATGTACCATTCACGTACAAAGCACATTGATGTCCGGTATTATTGGATATGAAAAGTGATGGATAAGCAACTGATGAAACTGGTGAAGATTCACACGGACAAGAATCCTTCTGACATGATAACCAAGGTTCTCACCAGAGACCAACTGAAAGTTTGCAAGAATTTGATCGGGATAGACTTCAAGTGAGAGTTTTAGCTCCAGCCTACATAGAGGAATTAATGAAGGTTGGCTCCATGTCAAGAAGTAGGAGGGGAGAGGGTAGGTGGAAGACCAGCTCATTTTTTTTCTCTTCCTTTTGTTATAAATTTTCTTCGGTTTCTTGACTTTGTTTTTCTCTCTATTGTGTATAAATTGAGATGATGAGGAAGGGAAGAAATACAACACAGACAGAGTAAGAGAGAATCAGAGAGAGTGTGTAAGTCTATAGAGAGGAAGTGAGTGTGAGTTCTGTAATCTCTCTCTGGAAAATTCTATAGTGAAATTTCTTTCTGTGGACGTAGGCAATTGTCGAACCATGTAAATATCTTGTCTCCTTTCTATGTGTGATTGATTTCTGAGTGTGCCCTATTCTAACATTTGTGTGCTTATTGCCTAGCAATTTTTTACTGTTGTAGTCATCACCAAATTGTCCTCCCAAGTCGAGTAATTGGACTTCATGGCTGTTTTCTTTCGCTTCCACAGGCAAAAAGAAGAACAAATTGACATACTGGGTTGTAAACATGTAATAGGATTGTGGCAATGGCTAAAAGAATGTAGTTACCTTTCTTTGCTCTTTTCCTTCTCCTTTGGTAGTAGATACAAGCACCAAGTAGAGATAGCACTAGGAATGCTGAAAGAATTATGCTGATACTGATTGTAATTATTTTTCCTTTCCTACCTTCTAAAAACAAATGGTTTAATTTTAGCCACTATTTAAATCATGCCCATTTTCATTCAATTTGAATTAATGGAAACATTTTTTGAAAGGAAAAAATATTCAGTTTTTTTGGCATTTGGACCTTATCATATTATAAACAAAAGCTTTCATTCACAACATAAATAATGTGTAGAGCAATTAAAAAATTAACATAGAACTTTTGTATCACGAGCACATGTGGGTTGATCCTATTAGGAAAAAAAACCACAAGCCCTAGCTGTGTGTGCTCAATCATAGGTGGAATTACACCAGCATGGTGAATCTTCTTGCCATAATCGCAGCAATTCACGATTGGGGCTTGTATTGGTGGGTTGTGGTGAATGACAGCATTTTGGGCTGCCTTTTGGCGCCCAAAACGGTTTTCCGTCATCTTACACAAACAGAGATGGATGGGGGAACACATTGAAACACGGATGGAACTCCAGAGTTTAATTTGTCAAAATTAAAACACTAGAAGTTGTAAAACGCATGAAACCTTAAGGATTTTTTTATTTCATTATATATATGTATATATTTTAGATTTCTAATAACACACTAGTTACTAGTGGTTGTGTGGTGGGCAGTGCTGACAACATCAGCGGTAGTGGAAAAAAATGCCAATTACACCCAGCATTAAAAAATTAACTAGTCTAGCTGTAAAAAATAAAAAATAGAAAATAAATTAGCTAAAACTTATGATCAATTGGGGACTAGCCGAGCTCGGGCTGAGCTAGAGTAGACAAGTTCTGGGACTCAAGCTTGGAAAGACAAAAGAAACTGTCAGCTCAGTTAGTCCGATCAAACCTTCTCTTGTTACCCCTAATCATGTTTGATCTTACTTTGTGAATTGAGATTGAAAATATGAAATATGTCATTAAGAATCAAATGCTCACCACTGCTTCAGCCACCATCGTTGCCATTGTCAATAGGTTGTGCTGCAATTGGCAGGTCTTGCAAGAAGGGGTAGAACTCTTAAGAAGATTGAATGAGAAAAGTAATGAAAGGAGAAAAGAGTTTATTGTATATATTATCAACCATACAATACATCTTTATATACTAAATAAAATGAGCAAATCAAGCCTACTTCTAAGCCTAAATTTCTGTGATAGAGAAGACCTTCCTAGTTTAGACATACACAATCACCTAGTTTAGATATACACAATCTTTACATTAGTTACAGAGATATCCTTAATATCATACCTTATGTTACAGCTTGGTACAAGAACTCTCCCTACCATCTTTCCCTTCGATAACGAAGAAAGGTACGAGATAGCATCAGAGAGGCAATCGCAGCAATCAAATGGTGACAAATCAGGGGTACACTGCACCATGCTATACAACCACATAGAACTTGTGACATTAGCTTTGCTTGTTGCATACACGCGATTCGAAGGATTGGAAGTTGCCACAAAACTCAGATTAGAGAAAGTTTTTCCCAAAATCTCATTGAATTTATCAGGCTCAAACTCAGTTATATTTCCTGTATTCACCAAGCAAACCCGTACTTGTGAATCTACTTTAGAGAAGAAAGATCTGTAAGAACAGCGAATCAAACACTCATCGTACCATATAATTGCCGCTTTCTTGAAGGGACAATCTTTAACAATCTCATTGCTGGCCATGTCGATGCAATTCTGGCAGACGCAGGCTGGAACATCACCTCTGCAGAGGAATAGACCATAAACGTTGTCAGGATCGTCCCCTTGTGTATTGTTGAAGACGGAGTCACCACCATTGTTGTAAAGAGACTGGATGAGGAGGCGTCTGAGGTTGCTGTCTAACTGGCTACCCATAGTGTAATTTGTGGTATTTGTTGAACACAGAGTGTATAGGTGTTTGGGTTGTGCCATGATCAATGGGTGTTGAATAACAAGCAGGAGTGAAAAGAACAGAGGAATCATAGTTCCTGATGGGGTAGAGAGAACAACTACAGTCATCATTCTTTTCCTTCCATTTTTTACATAAGAGCAGAAATTGCTGATAATTATAACATTTTTAATTTAATGCTTTTGTCACCAAAAATATAGGCAACAATTGTGTTTTTAAAAATAGACCATTCCTTTTTTGGTGACAAACGTGATAAATTGAATATGCTACAATTATCAGATCGCCGTAATTTTTTTTGTGACTGATATACATGAAATGCCTAATAAAATGAACGGTTTGAATTATTAAGACAAAACCCCACAGATCCGAACATGGCCCTTCAGTCTGGATAAAGGATTGGAGGGGATCCACTCCCTATTTTTAATAGAGAAATGAATTGTCATTACTTTTAGCATTGGACGGTACAAACCACTTTTCCCATTGATCACAACTATATGAATTATCATATATTACATATATTTCTTTCTATGTTACAAAAATTATTTCAATTTACAATCACAACACACAAAAAAAATCACAGTAAGTGACAACCTTTCAGCATTCACCGTGCTGATACGCTAGAAACACTGACTTGATTTTTTACAGAAGGATCTGTGGATGAAGATGGTTCGATATGAGCAACCCTGCTAACAGAAAATGCAGGTTGATTTGGTTCAGGAAGTGTTGCTGATTCACTTCCCAATAGAACCACCACAGATGACATATTTGGTCTATCTTTTGGATCTTCTTGGACACATAGAAGCCCAATATGGATACATCTTACAACTTCTGCCACAGGGCATGACCCCGCCAACAATGGATCTAAAAATTCTAGTTCTTTTCCATCGCTCCATAGTCGCCATGCCTATAAAATCACATAGTTTTAATTTGAATGAGTAGTTGTCACAGTCTAGTTATTCGAGTATTTGTAGTTGAAAAGGGGGTTGAAAACACATACATAGGCAAGGAGTGTCGGAGCATGTTCTGTAAGGTAAAAGCCACTGTTTCTTTTCCCACTAATGATCTCGAGCAAGATCACTCCATAACTGAAAACATCAGATTTTACAGAGAATAGTCCACTCATTGCATACTCGGGAGCCATGTATCCACTGTATCAAATATGATCATTATTTTATCTTCTTTTCAATTAAAATATGTAGTTTCAATGAAAGGATAAAGGAAAGAGCAAGGGTTTAAATAGCAATGTGTCACGATTGGTATTTGTTGTGGTCGATATCAGGTGTAGCGAACGATACGTATTAAATCATCAACAGCCAAAAATAGCTTTATAGAGCTTTATATATAGTAGTCATATCAACTTTTGAACCGATATGTATTGGGAGTTGGTTAATGTTGGTGTAATTTTTATTCATCGATATTGTAAGGGCTGAAAACTGATAAATATCAACCAATATTTAAAACTATGAGAAAGAATAGACTTACTATGTTCCTACAACTCTTTTGGTGTTAGCTATATTTTGGTTTTCACCAAAAATCCTCGCCATTCCGAAATCTGATATCTTAGCGACCATTTCTTGGTCCAATAGAACATTATTAGGCTTTAGATCCCTGTGTATGATTTTAAGCCTCGAGTCTTCGTGCAAATAAAGTAGTGCTCGAGCAATCCCAAGAATAATGTTCAGGCGTATATCCCAATGAAGTTTTGCACGCTTCTCTGAATCTGAAATTGTATATAAAATTAAAGCTACCTGAGAAGATAATTTTTTTTTGTAAGAAAGCCTATAAATAAAAGATGCAAGAACAAACCAAATATGAAGAGATCAAGGCTTTTGTTGGGCATGTATTCATATATGAGCAACTTTTCTTCTCCCTCTATGCCACAACCCACAAGCCTCACAAGGTTTCTATGTTGAAGTTTTGCTATTAGTATGACTTCATTCTTAAACTCCTCTAATCCTTGCCATGATTTCCCCGACAGCCTTTTGACCGCTATTTCCTTGCCATCACACAAGATACCCTACAAATTTCAGTTAAATATTTATTGATCAAAAAGGATAAAGGACTCTAAATTTGTATAATATCAATTGATATGATATGTATTGAGATTTTGGACAACTAATATATCAGCTGTTATAAGACCGTACAAATACGTGTCCCCGATCCTATTGTTTAAAACCATCTGGAAGACTACGGGAATGATCACACTAACAGGGAAAAAGTTGTTACCTTGTAAACAGTGCCAAACCCACCTTGTCCGAGCTTATTTGTATCAGAAAAGTTTCCCGTGGCTGCCTTTATAGTAGCCAACTCCATGAAAGGCAGTTCCTGAGAACTGACAAATTCACCTTCTTGATTAATGTCAACACTAGGTGGATTTGCCAATTCTTGTAACAATGCACTTTGGCTTTTTTCCTCATCTGCAGGGCAGCAGACTCTTCTGTTAATGGTAGTTATTTCATTGATATGGTGCGGTTTGCCTATTTGAGAGTAAAATTATAGACCAAATGGTGGATTGGCGGATAACCAAATTGCGTTTTGGACGGTTTGGGGCGGATTGACGGATTGAAAAATATTCTTAACCAATTATCAACCATTTGCATAATATATAACACTAATTTGCATAATATTTTTTTATATATATAATACAAACTAAGTTTACATAATATTATTCATATGTATAACTATTAATTGGTAACAAATTAAAAAAATCTCTCATACTCAATTTTACTTTGATATTTTATTAGACGTTAAAAATATATATGTGTATTAACTATAGTGGAGCAGAGCAGAGCGATTTTGAAAGTAGATTATAAATTTTAAAGTTTAATCCGCGGTTAGTAGATAAAACGGTGCGGATTGGTGCGATTTTTACAGATGGAGCAGTAGTTTACACAGTCCTAGACATGGGAATGTAGCGTGTTGGTAATTAAGCATTTGGACAACAATAAGTCTCGAAATACAAAAACAAAATGCAAAACCAGACACAGAAAATGCATGTTTTGTGTCTGATTTTGTGTGTGGTTTCTGTGCTTTTAAACTTGCTGTTTTGTAAATTTACCCTTTCGTGTTCGGTTACTTCGCTGATGCCGAATAACATAGCAGCCAGCAGCAAGACCTGCGAGCACAAATGTTGTTGGACCAGCAACTAGCATAGCCACCTTAATCTTCTTTCTGTTCCCTGTTTGTTTAGGCAAAAGATCTATGTTCTCAATTTCAGTTCATATATTGTATGCACTAATGACAATAAACATGTTTGGCAAATTCTTTTGGGGAAATTTTATTGAAAACACCTTTTTTAGGAAAATTTTTTAAAATCATTTTGGCCCAAAATTGAAACCATATGAGAGTTATTTGTGCGAAGTAGTCAAATGATTTTAGACAAACAATATGGTTTTCTTGTTTTCTTCAAGTATATGGCGACAAGCAATAGCATAGACAAAGTAACTATTTTAAATTCAATTTTCTTACCATTGACAGTAGGTTCGTTGTAAAACGGATATAGCTGAAACCTCATGTTGCAGTTTCTGCTTAAAACAGTACCGCCTTGGCGATAATCACAGCACCCATCAAGGTCTCCAAATTCAGAATTCAAACAAACTCTACAGTCGCTTCGAGAGATGTCTCTTGTGCACTGTACAAACCCATAAATCGTTTCATTCGTTGAAATTTTGGTTTTACCAGTAGCAAACATGAGGTTAGAAGGATTAAATGCAGCTTGATCGGAGAGTTTATTCATGAAATCCTTCAAAACTACAACAAAACCAACACTGTCCGATATATTTTTCTCATCTTTATTCGAGTCAGGATACATTCCAGTATAGCCGTCCCAGGAATAGAAAGGCCGGTATGAGTACTGAACTTGACAGAATTCATGCCATATAATTGCATTTTGGGTTGAACACACAGTCATGATCTCCAGGCTTGCATTCTGAACGCAATCCCGACACACTTCAGGAGTGACATCCCCTCTGCAAAGTGCTTGCCCATAAACTTGATCAGTACTGTTTCCGAATACGGTACTGTTGAAGCCTTGACTTAGAGGAGTGTTCGACCATAGAGACTCAAGAAGTCTCTTAAGATTGTTCCCAAATGGGCTATTTTGTGTGTAATTAGCAGGACTAACATCACAAGATATGAAATTAGGTTCTGCACGAACAGAGGTGGAGATCACAAACAGAGACACCATTAAGAAATTTATTGCTGAAAGTGCATCCTTGTCAATCTTCCTCATATGAGATCTCATTTGTTCCTACTTTACCCGAAAAAGCTTGAAAGATAAGATAGTAATCGAACAACTATAGGAGAAGAGTCACAGAACCAGACACAGAATATATACTATGTGCCCGGTTTTGTGACCAATTTTTATATTTGTAGCAGAACTATAGGAGAAGATAAGCCTTGGATTGAAAAAGTCCGTCAACAAGTTTTCAACGGGACAACCAATAATTTTCTCAGAAACTTCATAACCGCAATCAATTTGTCTGGATTCTGAAGATCATTGACGATTACATGGAGGTGTTTATTGGTTGAAAAAAATACTAACAATAAGAATTTTGGAACTTTGAAAAATCATGGCCAGCATGTAAGCCTAAATAAAATAATTGATCAACTAACATAGATGGATAGACTCTGAATAATAAGTTAATAAACTGTTCAAAGAATGCATAAATATTTTCAGATGACGTTTCAAGTTTTGGCTTTTACTACAAATTAACTACATTGTATTAAGTACCACTAGTAGGGTTCTAATACTGAGAATTGGTTCAGCTAGGAAGCACCGATACGGATACGGGATATGGATACGGTACGATATGGATACGGCGATATGATAAAATCTAAAAAAGTAGGATATGGATACGGCATGAATACGTTTTGTAAAAAATATATTTTGTAATTTTTTCAAGCATGAGTTCTTTCATTTACTTAATAAGGAGGGGCATATCTTTGGTATTTTTTACTTGCATTAAACTTTATAATTTTACAATTTGACCCCTATTAAAATCTGTAAGAAAATTATGTTTCTGCCCCCTGCCCTATCCCGAACATATCCTTCCCGTATCTTGACTATCCATCCCGTATCCGAAATAAAAAAATATAAAAATTTTTTTTTGGATACTCTTCAGCCGTATCTAATAAGTTTTAAATAGATCAAACACGAGTCGAGTTCAAATAACTGAATTTGTTTTACATTCCTGTCAAAATCACAGAGCAGGAGGCCAAAGTCGGTAAATTTAATAAAAAATTCAACATCACAGAACAAGTGGCAATGTGATTAAAAGTCGGGATTTT